GCTTGATCATTTCACTGTCTATGTATATCAAATCATCATGTTGTACTCCTTAAATATATACAATTATTTAAAAAATAAAATGAATAAATTTGTATATATTTTTCTTTTTTCCAAATAATTAGCTAGTTACCCCAGCACCATTTGTTGAATAATCTACACTTTCTCCACTGGTTGAATGTCCCAATATAACACATACTACTTATATAAATTTGCATCTATTTCTGGGCTTTCTATCTGTTACATTGTATCAAGGATCACAAACTGGAGCCATGTGAATCCAATCAGACTTCCAGATGTGTGTTTTGACTTGTTTTGGTTTTGGCCGAAGTGTTTTTTAATTTTATTTATTTATTTTTCCCCCAAAGCCCCAGTAGATAGTTGTATGTCATAGCTGCACATCCTTCTAGTTGCTGTATGTGGGACGCGGCCTCAGCATGGCCAGAGAAGCGGTGTGTCGGAGCGCGCCCAGGATCCGAACCCGGGCCGCCAGCAGCAGAGCGAGAGCACTTAACCGCTAAACCACCGGGCCGGCCGAGGTGTTTTTTAAACGGTGAATTTAACGCCTTTAGGCAGTTCACAGAGTCAGTCCTGTCTCAGACCAAGTTACTTGCCAGAGCCCTGAGGGCATTTGAGTTTTTCTGCCTGGAGAGACACTAGCAACATATTGTTTTAATATTTGTATCTTTATAACTTCTTTTAGTATGTGGCAGTGGACATTCTCTCTCGTTGTTCTTCTTTTTCAATATTTCCTTAAGTACTCTAATTTTCCAAATGAACTTTTACATTCTTTTGTCCGCTTCTGGAGAAAAAAAATCTCTCTGGGATTTTGCAATCACATCAAATTCCTAAATTCATTTGGATGGAATTTACATCTTGACAATATTGAGTCATCATTAAGAAATTTTGTAAGTCTCTGTTCAATTCTTTTTTTATATCCCTCAGTAAAAATTTTAAGTTTTCTTGTTAAAACTCCTGCATATTTCTTTTAGATTTACTTCTAAGAATTTTCTTTTGATGCTGCCAATACAAATGGATATCTTTTTCTATTCTTTTTTCAAGATTACAAAAGTAACATATAAAAAAAAAAGTCATTATAAAAGAAAAATTTAAACAATACAGGAATATAAAGAGTAAAAAGTGAAAGAACCATTCAAACTAACCCTCCCCTATGCCATTTCTGTCCCCAGGGGTATGGTAATATCCTTTTAGAGCTTTTTCTATACTTAACCCTACACACACGTGTGTGCACCCACACAAACACATACACAGACTGACAAGATCACACTATACATACTGTTCTGCATCTTGCTTTTGTCATATGGCCATTTATCATAGATACTTCTCCATATCCATGCATATTAACCAACTTCACTCTTCTTATAAATTGCATCGTATTACATTAAATTCCAATCATTTTTCATTAATTAACCATTCTCTTGGATTTTCACAGTACATGATCACAGCATCTGCCATTATGTGAAAAAAAGAAGAAAGAAAAACTTAATTTTATTGTTTTATTGCAATTGCTGGAGCATCCAAAACGAAGTTAAATGATTGTAGTGACAGAAGAAAGCCTGTCATGTCCCCAACTTTAACAAGAATATCTTTAACGTAAGTTTTAGTATTATCTGTTGGGTTCAGATTTTTTTATCATGTTAATAAAGTGCCTTTGTATACTAATTGTTTGTTTTTTCAAATTAGGATGGATGTTGAGTTTTTCAGTGCTATGTTGGCATCTTTCACAATGATCTTAAGTCTCTTCTCTTGAGACATACTGATAGAACTAATTTTATTAATAGATTTCCTAATATTAAACCACTTTTGTATTCATGGTCCTGGTGAATTATTCTTTTAACATTGCACTAAATTAAATTTGATAATGTTTCCATTAAGATTTTCATACACGAGATTGTGATTAGCCTGGGGTTTTTTTCCTTTCTTTGTCTACGATTAGTTTCTTCATAAAGCTCTGCTTTCAGCTTACTTCCAAACATCCTTTTAATTCTCAAAGGAGTGCAGCACAAACTGGTTTGATGTTCATCAGACTAGTTTCCTCTTCCTGGGAACACAACTAAACTGCATCATTAGCCCCTTGCAATGTAACTAGCCGTGTGACGGGTTGCCACCCAAGGTCAGTGAATGGAAGTGGTGATGAGTTTAAGAGCAGAAGAGCCTTTGCTGTGCTTTCTCTTTCCCCTTCCACAGAGACCTTGGAGGTCAGGGAGCTGCTTAGACCACTGATCACTGCTTGGAAGAGAGTCTCCCAAGAGAGCTGCCCCACCAGGAAAATCCACAGTGGAACTTCATAAGCCATTGAGACTTGAGGTTGTTTGTTACAGCGACTAACATCAACACGCTTGACCAATACAAGGAGTTTTCCATAACATCCATTTTGAAACATACTTAATATAATTTATCCACAATTCCACTGATGTGGAATATAAGACATATATGGAATGGAATATAACATAGACAAAAAGTGATTTCCTCACACCCAATTCTCATGCAATATTCAGCAAACTGGCCTCTATTGTGTCCCAGCACTAGGCCAGTCTGTATGGCACCATGATATTTTTGAGATATTAACCCACATCTTTTTTTCTGCTAATATTTACCCCCTCCCCCTTTTTCAGCAAATTATTGTCTCAGAGGGAGGATGGGACAGGACAGAAAATACTATGCCTGTTGGTTTCCAACAACCTAAATCCATTAGGAGATTTTACTAGGTGGCTCAGAGGCAAATATTAAGATGGGAAAGGGGTAGGGGGACAAAGCTGGGCTCACACAGGGAGGGAGGACGAGGGGAATTGGGGAGAGCACAGACTTCTGTGAATCCCAGAGAGCCCTGCATCTTGCCCTGTAGCCCCTGGGAAGGCAGTGAGACCCCAGAGAGGGATGGCGGTGGGTGATGGGGATGAACATTCTCATGACTCTCATGCGAGGCACAAAGGAAGCAGCAGAAAGAGTTCCCAGAGGTGAGGAGTACACGGGCAGAAGAGGATGTCCTAGGGATACCGAAACAAGTGGGCTCGCCTCCTGGTGACTTAAATAAGACTCTACACCAGTGGAAGTTGTCTCACAAAGTAAAGTGTATTTGCAGCAAATAGGCCATGAGGAATCATTTCCAAAGCCATGGTGTCCCAGAACAAAGGAAAACAGGAACTTTTATTTGGTTGGGGAATGAATATTCAAAAGGGAGAGCCGGGAATTCACTTGCACAGGCTCAGTTGGAGAACACACTTCCACATAATAACGCTTAAGCTCCTCCTAGAGAGATCTTTGCATTAAAAATAAGGCAAAGGTCATGGGCGCAGCTCTTGTGGTGAGGCTTGGTCAGTTTCAGGATGGCTGGTGGTTACATCTCCCTTGAGTAGCTCACTTGGTCAGTTTCAGGATGGCTGGTGGTTACATCTGCTTAACACACAAAAGGAAAAGAAACAACTTGGAAAAACAGTTAATTGCTTCCAAACCCACCTTTGAGTTTCTGGAGGCACCTAGTTGGTGACATTAGCAGCTACCCATATACACCAGCCTGGCCCTGGACCCCCTGATTCCACAGATGCAACCGAGGGTGTGTCTACATACCAGGGCAAACAGGTGATTTGAGCAACAGAGAGCCTCTTCTTGGAGAGTTGGCATTACACAGCCCCCTCAGGGAAAAAGGAGGGAAACCCCAAATTGACTGTGCCAGGCTCTAGGAATAAACAAGAAGAGAAACATACCCCTCTGAGGAGCTTACAATCATTATTGGTGTTCCTGTTGTCAATTTCTGTTTCTTTGGGGCGCTCCAGGTGAAGAACCAGCTCTGGTTGAGCGGCTTAGGGTGGGGTGGGGATGGTGAGGGGGTGGGTGGGTATGTTCTGGATGGGGTGGGGACTGTCTTGCTGCCTCTGCTGAGCCCGCCGGCCTGGCTGGAAACGACGGGCCCTGGAGGGGAGGCTGGGGGGTGAGAATGGAGAGGGCCGGGGTAGGCAGCGTCCCCCACCACCCCCTAACCTTTCCTCCTCCTCCGAGGCCAGGATTTAGGGCGGGCTCGGGGGGCCAGTAGGGGGCGCCAGAGGACCGGCAGTGTCGCGAGGGTGGGCTTGCGGAGCTCGGGACGCCGCCCCGGGGAGGGACCCCCAGTGGCTCCCCCTCCCACACCGAGGGGACGGAGGTCGCGCGCCGCCGTGGGCCGGGGAAAGGAGAGAACAGAGGGAGCCCGGAGCCGTGCCCGGCCGCAGCGAGCTCGAGGTCACGGCCGTTACCTCCGGCCAGGACCCCAGGGCGCCCGCCTCATACACAGGGTCTCAAATTTACACGCTGGACCTCAGACCGAATGAGCTTATGCACAGTGCTTTGACAGGATCAAAGAAGGCAGCCATCATACAGTAAACATGTAAAATATGTGACATTTATGGTACCATGTTTTGGCTTTTCTCCATATTTTAATATTCCGAAAATCTCAAAAAATGGCACTGGCCCTGAGTCTGTTACCCTCAATGGGGCCTCACCCTGTGCCCCCCTCCATATCCCCAGGGGGGCCTCCTTAGTGGCCAGGCTTCTTGCCTATCCTCACACACGCATACCCCTACACATCCGTCACCCACCACTTAGTTCTCAGCTTCAGGCCTCTTCCCATCCTCCCTGTCGGTGACCCGCTCCCCCCAGCCCCCCAGCACTTCCCTTCCTTGGCTCCTTTTCTTCTCAGTGGTCTGTCCCAGCCCCAGCCCCCTCCCTCACCCTGATACACATAGCTGAACCCAGGAGGGAGGCTCCAGGGGCAGGACTCCCTCACAAGGCCACCCCTCTAACAAAAACCCCTTCTCAGCCCTGGACACCCAGACCCTGCCTCCTGGCCCTGGACAATAGCATCGAATCCAGCCTAACTTCTTCCCAGAGTTCCTGAGGGGTAAATGCAAGAGCAGAGAGTGGGAACCCAGCCAAAGTGGGGTCAGTGTGGACAGGGGCCAGAGGACAAAGCCTGGGTTCTATGTGTGGTCCACAGAACCAGACAACCTGTTGCTAGGTAACTAGATCTCCCATCGCCTCCTGAACACATCCTCCTGAGCTGCCGCTCGTCAGCCTCCAGCCGTCTTCGCCTGAGTCTCTCAGACACCCACCCTCTGTGGGACCTTGAAGAGCAGGAGGAAGGGAAAAGCAGGAGCTCAGCCACCACTGCAGACCCACCTGCGGCTCCACCACCCACTGTTTTCTGTGAAGATTCAGCTGCCTGGGCCAGCGGGTCACCACCACCATGAGTCTGGGCATCATGGAGGAGGAGGATCTGGCCGAGTACTTCCGGCTGCAGTATGGGGAGCGGCTGCTACAACTGCTGCAGTGAGTGTCTGAGGGTCTGGGGACCCCCCCACCCCAATGCCTGGGACCTCCCACGCCCACCCCATGCCCCACCTTCCAACCTGTCCCCTCCTGCTCCTAGAACCCGGAGCCCCAATCACCCTGCCCCATGGCCCTGGCACCAATCCACCCCCATCACCCAGATCCCCACCCGTTATCACCCTGCCCCAGCTTGTTCCCTGGATGCCAACACAGCCCTCTCTCCCTCTCAACATACCATTCCTTTCCTCCGATGGGGGACAGGACCCCCTTCCTTCCCCATGGGTATCTGTCTCCACGGGTTATTCCCACTCTCAGCCTGCCCCAGATGCTCAGAACCCACAGGCCCCTCTTGCCCGTGTCTTGGGCAGGAAGTTCCCCACCAGTGAGGAGCAGTGGGAGTCCCCATCCATCCAGCTGCTGGAGAAGAAAAAGGAGGCCAAGATCATGCACCAGGCTATGGAGCAGAAGAAGAAGGTGGGGGACTAGGGGATGCGGTGCAGGAAGGGCCACAGGCTCAGGGAGAGCCTGAAGACAGCCTTCCATTTTGTGGGTGCTGGTGGCTAGAGCCAGGAGTCCTGGGTGGTGGTTCTGTGTTCCCTCTGCAGAGACAGAAAAGATCCAAGCCTTGGGGGTACCAGTGTCCTAGGACGCTCTGCTTGGAATTGGGCATGGGGTAGGAAGTAGGAGGCCTGAGGATAGAGGCACTGGGCGGGGGATGCTGGGGCCTTCCTCCATACCCACGTCAGGGGCCTTTCTGACCTCTCTGCTCCCCCCGCCTCAAGATATTTCAGCGCAGAATGGAAAGCTTGAACCTGTGCTGGGAGGAACTGGGCGTCAAGGAGGCCCAGCTGAAGGCCCATATCCAGAAGTTTGAGCAATTCATCCAGGTAGGAGGGGGTGTGGCCTGCTGCAGCAGGCCAGGGGCACCCACACTCGTTGGTTGGGCAAATTGCCACTCCTCCCCGCCGCGCCCCGCGCCCCCCCCCCCCCCCCCGCCTTGCTTTTGCTGACTCTTCACCCTGGATTAGATGTCTCTTCAGTGCTCAACAATGCTGGGGCTTCTCCCTTTATGTCCCCACTTATTGCTGTTTGAATTTCCTGTTTACCAGTCTGCCCCGTCTACACTGCTGTTTACCATTTCCTTGCCTGCACCTGGTACGTACGGTTTATTCAGTGAATAAATGAATGGATGGATGGTGATGAGTGACTGAATTGCCACAGTCAAGGCTGGGCACTTGGGAATACAAATATGAATCAGACAGGGTTTGAGTCCCCCCAGCTCACCCCAGCCCTCCATCCTTGTGCTGAGGGTCCAGGCAGGGGGTGGCGGAAGGACCAGCACCAGAGTCCATTCGGAGACAGCGCCTCTCAAGCGGTCCTTAGAGGAGCGATTTAGCCATTTTAAAACCCAGATTTCTCCAGACCGGCTCCAGACAGCACTCATGGAGCCCTGAGGGCCTGGCCCAGCTCCAGCGGGGAATCGCTGGCCTCTGCCACGGGGGAGCCCTGCTCCTGAGCCTCTTCTGTCTCGCTCTGGGCCTAAACCAGGTGGGAAGGGAAGCTGAGGGACGGGGCATATTCTCCTGAGGTCCCGTCCTTGTTACTGGCCAGAGAAGAGCTCTGGGAGAGCCTGAAGACAGCCTTCAGGAGTGGAGGGGTTGGGGCGGCAGGAGATTTGGAGGTGAGCGGCTCTCCAAATGGCTACCAGAGAACCCGCAGCGGCGGAATCCTGGAAAGCTGGTTCCAAATACAGACCCCCGGGGCTCTCTCCTCTCTCCTTGCTTTCAGCAGGCCTAAGGTCAGGCGGAGGCAATTGTGTTTTTAAAAAGCTCCGCAGGGGATTGTGCTGCACAGTTGGACTTGAAAACCACTGGTTTAGCGCCCCACAGTCCTCTCCTGGGCTTGCGGGGCACAGTGCAATCCTCCCTGTGCCTTCCCCACATGCCTCCAAACGTCCTCCACACCACACACGCCCATCCGCGTGGAATCACAGGCGCCCCTGAAGAGGGAAAGGAGCCACACAAGTGCATTGTGAAGGGTGGGTTTGCCCCTAATCTTGGCGGGGGTGGTTAGCAGAAGGGGAGTCAGCTGGATTGTAGCAGCTGAGCCTCGTGTCTTTCTGGGCATCGAATTGCCTGCACCATCTCCTCCTGCTCCAGTCTGAGCTACGGAACATGCTCTCCAGAATGGCCTTGCCCCGCCAGGCCCTCTGGACCAGGTCCACCTCCCGTCTCATCTCCCTGTAGCTTGAGCACTGCTGCCCCAGGTTTTGGAAGGAAGAGAGGAGAAATTGAGGCACCAAGTACCAAATGGAGAAAATTCGGGCCTCCTCGCCCACTTGGGTGGCCCAGTGACCTCTGCCCATCCTCATGGTGGCCCGAGCTCAGCAGACAGAGGCCTTGTGGGGGCACCACCGGCCTGGGCCCCAGGGAGGGCAGGGCGCGTGCCTGACGGGTGCCACCTCCCCGGCCCAGGAGAACGACCAGAAACGGATCCGCGCCCTGAAGAAAGCCCACAAGGAGCAGGAGCTCAAGAGGCAGCGCTTGCGCGAGCTGGCCAAGGCCAAGCAGGAGATCGTGGCCCTGCGGCTGGAGCTCCAGCAGCTGAGCACCAAGCTGCAGGACTACTCCATCTTCAACAAGTTCCTGGAGAAGGTGGTGGAGAACTCCGAGGTGAGCATGGGGGGCGGGGGGTGTGCCTTCCTCAGCCCCACCTCCTCTTCCCCAGGGCCTGGGGCTATGGGGGGAGTGGGGACCCTCTGCAGGGCTGGTCACCTGCTCTGAGGGGATGCCTCCAACCCTGGAGGGCAGCTGGAAAAGGCTCGTCTCAGGCTGGCCTCGATTCTCAAGGGTTGGGACCTGACGGTGTATCTTTGTGTCTGTGTAGTGACATCTGTGTAAATGTCTCAGTATGGGTGGTGTGTTTATGTCCACGTGTGTGTGTTTGTTGGGGGAACGAGGTTTCGTTTTGGTGCACTGCCTGCCTCCAGGTGTAGCCACATGGATCCCTGCTTCCCCGCTTCCCCGACGTCTCTTGTTTCCTTGAGAGCAACTAGGAGAGGGAGGGAGAGGAACTGGGAAAACACCCACCCTAACGCAGAGCTGGAGAGCTTCGTACATGCTGAGTACTGGGCTAGGTGCTGCACACTGTAGTTTCACTCAGTCCTCTCACTGGCATCCAGAAGAAAGCCAGCATATCACCCTGGACAGAAGAGGAAATGGAGGCCCAGAGAGGTTAGGTAATCTGCTCAGGGTCTGGGGCCGGCCCTGTGGCTTAGCGGTTAAGTGCGCGCGCTCCGCTACTGGCGGCCCGGGTTCAGACCCCGGGCGCGCACCGACGCACCACTTCTCGGGCCATGCTGAAGCCGCGTCCCACATACAGCAACTAGAAGGATGTGCACCTATGACATACAACTACCTACTAGGGCTTTGGGGAAGAAAAAAAGGAGGAGGATTGGCAATAGATGTTAGCTCAGAGCCGGTCTTCCTCAGCAAAAAGAGGAGGATTAGCACAGATGTTAGCTCACGGCTGATCTTCCTCACAAAAAAAAAAAAAAAATCTTCTCAGGGTCTCACACCTTGTAAGTGGCACATTCCTTGCTTCTGACCATTCCTCTGTGGGCCCTACAATGCCACTGACAATTGTTCCTCTAAAGTTGCCTTGATGCCAGAGCTAAGGGAACCTCTCTGCCCTCTTCCCACACACATCCTGCAGCCTTGGACACTGTTGATGCTCCTCCTTGAAACATACCTTTGCCCTTTCCTCTGGGACTCCTCCCTCCCGCTGCTCCTGGCCCTTCCTCCTCAGGCTCCTCTGGGGGCTCCTCCTCCTAGCTCCTTCTTTAAATGTTCCTCGGGTCTTTGTCCTAGACACTCCACTTTTCTCCCTGAGCGATTACCCGAGCCTCCCGTGGATGCCACCCGTGTCAGTGGCTATCCACTGTGTTTCCCCCAAGGCCCCATGTGACAGCGGTAGGTAGGGCCCCTCACCAGGGTGGAGCGAGGTGTGAAGTATGCCCTCTTGGAGTGTGGATCACTGTCCTGAGGGGGCGCAGGGAGACAAAGGATGCACAGCTTTCTAAGTCCCGGCAATTTCCATATAGCACTATGTCTTAGAACTGAGGAGACTGTATCTCGCTGTATTGTATCTCATCTGCTTCCTGCCATCCCCAGGCCAGCCCTGCTGCTCATGTGTCCAGTGCTGGGGAATGGCACGGCCACCCACCCAAAGCCTCACCAGAGCTCAGGCCTCATCCTTGACTCCTCCTCTCTCTCTCCCCGCAGCCATCAATCAGCAGATCTGGTCTGTTCTGCCTTCTAAGTATTTCTGGAATCCAGCCCCTGCCCCTTCCTCATCCAGACCACCAGTGCACCTCGTGTGGAGTCCAGCTTTGCTTTATTCCTGGCCACCAGCCTGTCTGGCATTCTACAGCCAGGGTGATCCCCCCCGCTCTCTTTCTTTCTCCCTCTTTCCTTCTTCTTTTACTTCTTTCAAAATATTTTAAGCATACTGAAAAGTATAGAGAAATATATATCAGCACGCAAATACTCACCACAGCTTTGTGAAATCTTAGTATTTTCCCCCATTTGCCCCAATTCTTTTTTCTTAAATAAAACACTGCCGGTAATTGAAGCCCCTTGCGTGCCCCCTTCCAAACCCCATTCTTCGTCCCCTCTCCTCAGACGTAACCAGTATCCTGATTTTTTAATTTCTCATTCTCACATTTGTTTTTATTATTTTGACAACGTATGACATATCCATAAACTATGAATAGTATCGTGCACGTCCTTTTGTGACGTGCTTTTTCCAATCAATGATTTTTTTTTAAAAAACTTGTTTATTATGGAAAATTTCAAACATACACAAAAGTAGAGAGAATAGTCTATTGAATGCCCGTGACTCATCACCTAATTCTAACAATTATCAACTCATGGTCATATTCTCCATACCTTCCCACCTCTACCATTTTGTAGCAAATGACATTTTTTCATCCATAAGTATTTCAGTATATAACTCTAAATGATAAGAGCTCTCGTCTTAGCCACAATACCATTGTCACACCTAGTAAAAATTTGATAGTAATTCCTAAATATCAAATATCCAGTCAATGTTAAAATTTCCCCACTTATTGCACAAATGCCTTTTTGTACAGTTGGTTCTTTCCAATCAGGGTCCAAACAAGGTCCCCACACTGCATTTGGTTGATATGCTTCTCAAGTGTTGCAGAATTATGCTGATCAAAAGAAGTCAGACATAAAAGAGGACATACTGTATGATTGCAACAATGTGTTTTAAAACAGGTAAAATAAATCTTTGGTGATAGAAGTCACAATGCTGGTATACTTGGTAGTGGGGGCAAATACTGACTGAAAGGGGGTAGAAGACCCTTCTAGGTTGCTGGAAACATTCAATCATCCCTTCTCACATATTAGCTAGAATACTACCATAAAGAAAAGGACTTCGTAAAGAGAATCTTCCCTTCATCAACTATTTGACGAAAAGATTGTTAAATGCTTGATTCTTTATTACAGTTTTCAGAATAATGAGTTGATTCTCCAGCATCCTCCAAAAGTGGCCTGTACTGTTGTTAGTATTATTATGAACTCATGGATTTTAACATATTTGATATGTTTCAATCCTTTGCACTTATTCTTACTAATGTTCAAAGTGTCCCATCTTTGGACAGTGAGACCCTCTTCAAATTGGCCCCTGAGTCCTTTTGACATCAGCATTACGTTTTGGAGAGGTGCTCCTCGTAGCTCTGATGTAGTCCGTTCATTTTAACTGTTGTATGCCGTTGTATCGTGTGCTGAGTGAACTTTCAGAAATGCTTCTTATGAAGTTCTCTCTCTGCTTCTTGAAATCCTTCAATGGATGAAGTCCACACTCCTTCTCAGGGTTTACTAGGCACTTTTTTTCACTTCTCCAAGTCGATCTCTCCCTCTTCATTGAACTCAGGCCATTTATACTAAGCTCTCTTGAGCATCCTGAACATGCCACACACCCACCATCATCTTTACCCAGGCTGTTCCCTCTACCTGTAATACTTCCTTACCTTCCCCCACCTGCCTTAGCCTGGCTATCTTCTATTCATACCTCTGGTCTCACTTCAGCGATCTCTTCCCCCAGGAAACCTTTTCTGGCTGTTCCCACCTCCTCTAATGCTGGGTTGGGTGGCCCGTCCCCACAGAGGTATATTTGGGGAAAGGGCAGCAGGGCAGTTCCCGTAACACCAATCTATCACTGGAAATGTCATGAGATGGAGAAAGTGCTCAGGGAGTGTCCCCTGGGTGGCTGGCAGGCACACTTTGATAAACCCCTGGAGAAGTGAGTTGGCGTCCTGGAGCTGGTGCTCACACGGCCTTTAAAGAGGGAGGGTTGCAGGGCCTCTGTTCTGCTGAGTGGGGCCTTCGAGTGAGGGCCAGTGGCATGGCTCTGCCCCATGCTGGAGGAGGTGGCTGAGCCTGGCAGGCCACCTGCCCCACTGGGACCCTCTCCAGCCCACGCTGGAGGGAGAGCTCAGCAATGGTGGGCAGATACTCCAGAGCACCGTGTTATACATCTTACCCTCCAGGCTCTGTCCAGTCCCATCCCCCAGTCAGAGATAGGGCTTATCACTCTGTGTTGTAACTGACTACTTGCTTGTCTGTCTGTCCTCCATACCACTCCAAGTTGGAGGCTTCATAAGAGCAGGGTCTGGCTTTCTTATCTCCTGCTCTGTCCCAAGTATTTAGCACAGTTCCTGGCTTGTAAGTAGTTCTTGGTACATTCTTGTTGAATAGGATAATTATCGCCTGGGTAGACATCTCAAAATGCACCCGCCCCCAACCCCCACCTGACCTCTGCCAGCATTTCTCAACCTTGGAATCACCTGGGGGACCTTTTGCAAAAATCAGATGCCAGGGACCACCTCAGACCTGTTTATTAAACCCAATCTCTGGGGGTGGAGCCTGGCAGGTGTGCTTTTTAAAGCTCCTGGGTGATGCTAACGTGCAGTCAAGATTGAGAACCCCAGGTCCAGTGGCACGTGCGCCTCAGCACATGGCCCATACCAACCCAGGAAGAACGGGCAGCGTGACTCCGACGTCCTCACAGCCTCTGCCTCTTGACCGCGGCCCAGGGCCTCCCTGCCAGGCCGAGACACCTAGGCCGGGAGTTGGCGGGCGGGCGGCTGCACGCGCCCCCAGGGGCAGTCGTGCAGTGACTTGAGCCCCTCCTCCCTGCAGTTCGAAGAGATCCACGAGGTGATCGCTCGCTACAAGACGCTCGTGAGCATGCACCACGACCTCATGCAGTCGGCGCAGGAGGGCCAGGAGAAGATCGAGCGCGCCAAGGCGCGGCTGGCGCGCTACATGGAGGAGAAGGACGACGAGACCCTGCAGCACAACAACGAGCTGGCGCGCCTGCAGATGCGCTTCGACCGCGCCCGCAGCGACGTCATCGTCTGGGTGAGCGGCCCGGGACGGGGCAGGGACTTCAGGGCGCTGGATGAGCGAGGGGCACACACACTCGCCCTCCGTGCTCACGCCCCGCCCTTTTCCCTTCCCCAGGAATCTCGCTGGGCGCACATCCAGAACACTGCCGCCAAGAAGACCCTCTTGCTTGGCACCATTAAGATGGCAACGCTGAACCTCTTCCAGATCGTGAGCAAGCAGCTGAAGGAGTCGACCCATGTGTCCCTGGAGGACACGCACAAACAGCTGGACATGGTAAGAGAAGGCACAAGGGTCAGCGGGCTGGGTCTACTGAATCAAGGTGGTTCTCCATTGGTTGAAGGGAGGAATGACCCCGACAGAGCAGTGGTTCTCAAACTTGAACAGGATCAGAATCACCTGGGGGCAGGGGAGTATTGCTGGGCCTTACCCCCAGAGTCTCTGACTCAGCATGTTGGGGTGAGAACCCGTGGATTTCCATTTTCAACAAGTTCCCAGGGGGTGGTGCTGGTCTGGGTTCCACACTTTGAGAACCACTGCATTAGAGCTAAGACCCCGTTGGCCCCAGTCAACACGGGCAGTAGCAGGGACCCACTATTGAATTTATTAGTTATGCAAAACAGTCTTCTTAATTTCTAGTGAGATCCTAAAGGCTTGTACCCAAGGCCTACTCTTTGGGAAAGAGAAAATCTGGGGGGAAATCAGCAAGTTTAGGGAAGTGTAAGAGTCCTATTAGTATTCTCTCTCTGAAGTAATTGAAAGGAAACTGAAAAGGAAATAACTTTTTTCATTGTATGATTCAAAGCTATCTGATGTCATGTCCATGTGCCGCCTAAAATCATCTCACTTCTGACCAAAGCACACACGTCCCACAATTTGGGAACCTTCGCACCAGCAGATGCATCAGCCATGCTTCTTGTGATGTGCAGAGGACCATGACACGTTATTGATTCCTTTGGCAAAAGCCTGTAGCTCTGCTGTGAAGTAGTAGGAAGTCTGCTTCTAAAGGCTGGGATTTTTGTTTGTTCTGTTCCCTGCTGTCTCCCCAGCGTCTAGAACAATGCCTGACACATAGTAGACACTCAATAAGTGTTTGGTGAATGAATATAAAACATGAGCCAATAAAAGCAATTAACTGAGAGGGACTTCCCCTATTTAACAAAAAAAAGGTGAAACTTGTGAAATGTAAAGGATTTTACCCACTGACCAGCCAGAAGAAGGATTTCCCCAAATCAAAGAATCAGCCTGCATCTTAAGGCGTGTTAGAGCAGAATTATTAACAGTCAAAAACTGTAAGGGAATTTGTAAGCAAGTTTGCTCTGAAGCAGCAATTCTCAAACTTGTTGGTGTCAGGATACCTATACAGCCTTAACATTTCTCCAAGACCCCAGAGAGCTTTTGTTTATATGGGTTACATCTATTGATATTTACCATATTAGAAACTCAAACAGAAAAATTAAAAATACTTAATTCATTCCTTTTTAAATGACAAGAAGCAGGGCAACATAAATAGCATTTTTAATGAAAAATACATTTTCAAAAAATATTTGTGGGATGAGTGGCATTATTCGACACTTTTGCAAATACATCTGGCTTCATAGAGGACAGGTGGATTCTCGCACCTGCTTCTGTGCTCGTTCTGTTGTCGGCCTCTGTCGTGGAAACATCCCACTCTGGTAGAAGCCACTGTACACTCATGAGAGAATAAGAGCGAAAAAGACAACATCTTAGTATTATTGTAAAATGAGTTTTGGCCTTGCAGACCCCTCTCCCCTGCAGTAGAGTCTCAGGGACTCCCGGAGGTCCTCAGGCGCCTGTCTTTCAGCTGTTGAAAGACAGGGGGGGCAGGCGGTGGTGATCTCCAGCTCCTTGCCCCTGCCCGAGCATTCCCTGCACAGACCATAGCTTCCAGTCTATCCACTCCAAATTTTGAGCTTTCTGACTCCCTCTCAACCTTGATTTGCCTCTACAGGAATGCCTCATGTTTCCCAAATGTTATTTTAAAATATCCCACTTCATTCCCATAGGATATGAGCCTACTGACAGAAATACACATGAAAAGTAGCCTGAAAAATTAAAAATGAGGACCTAGGAAAATATGAGTTAAAGTCTGAGGTCAAGGCAAAAGAGAAATACAGACTGTGGATTCTTGGATTATAAGGGCCTCCAACAGGGATTGTTGTTGGCTCTGAGCTTCCTGGTAACCAGAAGGAAAAGCAAAGCAGAGTACCAAAATCAGAAAACATAAGGTTTCCTCAGAGAGAGCAAACCTTTTCCAAGCATTTAGCTCTAACTGAAATTTCTCAAGGAGGCTACAGAGACACTCAACGAGTAATGTTCTCAACAACATCCCTATAGCAGATCCAAGCACGGCCTTCGTAAGGCAGCCACTTATCTAGAACTAGGAGCATGGGGCCACAGGACAGCTTAGGGAAAATGATTCTGCAAAAGGCCAAGACAATTTGAATTCAATATACTGTGTCATGAAAGGTCCAGCATGATCCCTGAGTAAAGCCCAAACTGTCTGAGCAGCATTTTCCATACTGTGCTTGGCAAATCCTAGAATCCCGAGATGTTAGTAAGTTTCCTATGGGGGAATAAAAGAACTCTGTGAACGAATAAATTTAGAAAACTGTGAGTTAAACAAAGTTAGATTGTTTTTAAATACAGGACTTTGCAGAGTCTTTGCTGTGGTTCTACCCTGAGACTCTCCAAGCAGATAGCGTTTCTAAAACTTAGTTGACCACAGACACCTTTTTATGGGGATGTGATTGCTTATTCTAAGCACATAGTTTGGGAAATGCTAGACTTGTCTTCTCTGTAACCTTGGGAAAGTTGCTTTAATTCATTGTCTCTTTGTCTCCTCTTTTGAAAAGTGGGAATTATATCAGTGATAATAACAAATTAGCACCTAGCAGGGTTGTTGAGAGTTTTGGATAGTCCGTGTAGTCCCATTTCCAGGAATATTCTTGAAAAGGAGACATTTTAGAAACGAGATCTTAAGAGGCCATCTAGCTCAGCCTTTTCTCCCTCTTCCTTTTTAATTTTTTTTTTAATTTTAAGAGTTTATTTGAGCAAAAATCAATTGGAATTTGGCAGCACCAAAGCAGAAGTGATTAGGAGCACTCCCCTGACGGGAGTCAGCATAGAGCCTTGCATAGAGAAGGTACAAAGCAAAGAAAGGAAATGATTTGATTGGCTGTAGCTTAAAGCCTAGTTGGCTGTTTGTGATTGGCTGTCCTTAGCCTTTTGATATCATAACCTCGAGGCGTTTACAGGCTGAGATTTTGGTTTGCATACACAGGCCTCCGTGGCATTAGAGCCTCGTCAGTCCTAATGGCCTCCATATTTACTTAAACCCTTCCTTCCTTCCTAACTTACTTTCTCTTTTTTTAATTGAAGTATAGTTGACATGCAATATTATGTTAGTTTCAGGGGTGGAACAAAGTTATTCAACATCTATATACATTGTGAAATGATTACCACTAGTAACCATCTAGTGGTAATCATCTAGTGACCACTAGTCACCATGTGAAGTTGTTACAGTATTATTGACTATATTCCCTATGCTGTGCATTACAGTCCCATGACTTATTTATCTTATAACTGGAAGTTTGTACCTCTTAATACCCTTTACCTGTTTCACCCATCCCCCTACTTCCCTGCCCTCTGGCGACTACCAGTTTGTTCTTTGTATCTATGAGTTTGTTTTGTTTGTTCATTTTTGTTTTTTAGATTCCACATAAAAGGGAAATAATATAGTATTTGTCTTTCTCTATCTGACTTATTTCACTTAGCATAATACCTTCTAGGTCCATCCATGTTGTCGCAAATGGCAAGATTTCATTCTTTTTTATGGTTGAGTAATATTGCATTGTATACATATACCACATCTTCTTTATCCATTCATCTATTGATGGACACTTAGGTTGCTTCCATATCTTGGCTATCTTGATTAATGCTGCAATGAATATAGGGGTGCTTGTATATTTTTGAATTAGTTTTTTTTTTTTGTTTTCTTCGGATAAATACCCAGAAGTGGAATTACTGGGTCATATGGTAGTTCTATCTTTAATTTTTTGAGGAACTTTATATACTGTTTTCCACAGTAGCTGCACCAATTTACATTTCCACCATCAATGCACAAGGGTTCCCTTTTCTCCACATCCTCACTAACATTTGTTATTTGTTGTCTTTTAGATATTAGCCGTTCTGACAGGTGTGAGGTGATATCTCGTGGTTTTGGTTTGCATTTCCCTGGTGATTAGTGATGTTGAGCATCTTTTCATGTGTCTGTTGGCCATCTGTATGTCTTCTTTGGAAAAATGTCTACACACGTCCTCTGCTCATTTTTAAATCAGATTGTTTGGGGTTTTTTTGATATTAAGTTATGTAAGTTCTTGCTATATTTTGGATATTAACCTCTTATCAGATATATTGTTTGCAAATATCTTCTCCCAATTCAGTAGGTTGCCTTTTAATTTTGTTCCTGAGCTGTGCAAAAGCTTTTTAGTTTTATGTAGTCCCATTTGCTTATTTTTGCTTTTGTTGCCCTTGCCTAAGGGGACAGATCCAAGAAAATATTGCGAAGACCCATGTCAAAGAGTTTACAGCCTGTGTTTTCTTCTAGGAGTTTTATGGTTTCAGGTCTTACATTTAAGTCTTTAATCCATTTTGAGATTATTTTTGTATATGGTATAAGAAAGTGGTCCAGTTGCATTCTTTTGCTTGCACTGTCTAGTTTTCCCAACATCATTTATTGAAGAGACTGTCTTTTCCTCATTATATATTCTTACCTCCTTTGTTGTAGTTTAATTGATCATAAAAGTGTAGGTTTATTTCTGGGCTTTCTATTCTGTTCCATTTATCTATGTGTCTCTTTTTCTGCCAGTACCATACAGTTTTGATTACTATAGCTCTGTAGTGTAGTTTGAAATCAGGGACTGTAATACCTCCAGCTTTGTTCTTCTTTCTCAAGGTGGCTTTGGCTATTCAGGGTTTTTTGTGGTTCCACACAAATGTTAGGATTATTTGTTCTAGTTCTATGAAAAATGCCATTGGTATCTTGATAGGGATTACATTGAATCTGTAGATTGCTCTGGGTAGTATGGACATTTTGACAAAGTTAATTCTTCCAATCCATGAGCACAGTATGTCTTTCCATTTATTTGTGTTGTCTTCAATTTCTTTCATTGATGTCTTATAGTTTTCAGAGTACAAGTCTTTCACCTCTTTGGTTAAATTTATTCCTACGTATTTTATTCTTTTTGATGGAA